TCAAAGAAGCCCCTCCTCCTCTGGCTTAATGGAGGTTATATAAATGGATACATGAGTTGGTTTAGTTATCTAGTTTGTTTTTCTAGCGTTTTGGGCATGATCTAATTGGTTGACTCTGTTTTTACTGTTAAAGGACCTGGTTGTTCATCAATAGCGTTTGGTGCAGCTGTGGAGCTAGGTCCTCTTAAAGTTGGAAAAAATGGAGTTAACCTTCACTTCAATAAATATGCTTGGAATAAAGGTTTTATATCACTTTCCTTCATCTACCTTAATTTTCTTCAGTACAATTCAATCAACTGACCTTGATAATAGGTTGTTAAGGTCAATAATGAATGAACTTTTCTTGCAGAGGCCAATCTTCTATTTGTGGAATCCCCAGTTGGAGTCGGATTTTCTTACACCAATACATCTTCTGATCTTAATAAGTTGAATGATGGATTTGTGGGTAATTAACCATTTGCAGATGTGATATTTTGTCTTTTTGTTTATGATAAGGTTGAAAATTTACGGTTTCATTTCGACTTAGCTGAGGATGCCTACAATTTCCTGTTGAACTGGCTTCGGAGATATCCACAGTTCAAAACCCAAGATTTCTTCATATCTGGAGAGAGTTACGCAGGTAGTTAAGTTTTGGAGTTCTATTCCCCCTTTCACATCGATATATTGTAAATGCTTTCTCAATTATTCTTTTATCTTGCAGGTCACTACGTGCCACAACTAGCAGAACTTATCTATGATCGAAACAAGGACAGAACCAAATATCCATTAATTAATCTCAAAGGTTTTATAGTAAGTAATCTTCCACGTTTATTGTGTATAGACACCTCAATGATAAGTGCCATTAGAATGTACATATTTATCTTGTTTATTTGGCCATTAACATAATGTGAGGAGACAACATGCATGCTGCAGGTAGGAAATCCAACAATTGATGATTACAATGATTACAATGGTTTTCTAGAATATGCTTGGACCCATTCTGTGATTCCAGACCATCTCTACCTCGAAGCCAAAGAACTGTGTGATTTCAGATTAGCTAACTGGTCTGACAAGTGCAACAATGCCATGGACAAAGTGTTTGATGAATATAATGAAATTGACATTTATAACATCTATGCTCCTAAATGTCTTATTAACAGCACATCTTCATTTGCTGATGTCAGTGGCCACAGTGTTGAAGAATTAGGCAAGGTGATTATCAAAATATGGTGGCAACAGAAATGAATTTCCTAGTGATAAATTATGATTTAATACAGCTAACTGATAGATTTTGACTTGGTAGAAAATGTCCTTTCTTGCAGCGAAATTATTATGGATTAAGAAGGATGAGAATCCTGGGTGGTTATGATCCCTGTTTCTCTGCACACACAGAACAGTATTTCAACAGAGAAGATGTTCGAACATCTCTTCATGCAACTATCAAAAGGGGAAAATGGAAGACTTGCAAGTAAGTAATGGAAGCATCGCTTTATTCAATTCTTGAAATTTCTTCATGCTATTTGCTCTTCTTTTCCCTCCTCCTTTGGTAACATAGATGTTTTCCATTTCCAGTGATTCCATCTTCAGGACATATATTTATAATGTTTCTTCAATCCTTCCTATCTACAATAGGCTCATCAAAGGTGGCCTCAAGATATGGATTTATAGGTAGGTTACCTTTTCTATGGTGCGGTGTTTTCTGCAGTTAAACCAACCTTCTCCTTCTTAAACTGTTGACTTGAGGACCTACAAACATCAATAATACAACAGTGCAAGAATAAAAGATAAAGCGTCGTTTAAGTTTCATTGTTGCCTTTTGTTTGTGAAGATTGATCTTGATTTTTCTTTGAAACAGTGGGGATGCAGATGGCAGAGTACCCTTCATTGCTTCACGAAACAGCATTCAAAATCTTCAACTTCCTGTCATTTCTCC